TCTCTCTCTCAGATACAAACACACATACACACACAAACACACACACACAAACATACACACACATACACATAAACACACAGAAAGACATTCCTGTCCAGGAAAGTGATTGAGAGTAAACCCCTGAACACAGACAAGAAAGACTGGGTTCTTTAAATAAAAGTAGCATTCTGTCCAAAAACCGCGATGTAAACAGAGCAGATGAACAAATAAAGCACCGGCAAAGGTCAGGTATGATAGTCTATCAGTCAACAAAACACTTATGATAGTTACGAGACTTCATCCCAATTGCTCAACACTAACTTTACTACTATTGGGATTCTTCAAAACAACAGGAAACGTCACACTGTGGGGTGCATTGACGGCGTCACGGAGTCCGTGTGACGTCAGAGTAGCATAGGTCACCGTGTCCGGCATGGGAATGCCCTGTTTGGACAGAATCTGCATCTGGTGGAACTTGTTCCGGCACACCATCATGGCCTGGTGAAGAGAGGCAGTCGACAAGCTTTTTGTGGGGGTTTTTTGGGTTAGTTTTAGTAAGCGATTGACGGCACTTGAAATACGACCAGGTCATATAAGTGACGAAGATTAGAGGTGTTACAAGAAAGTAACAAACACAAAAAAATCAGAAAGAGGAGAGATAATGACGACAGATGTGTGATAGTAAAAGGGGAGCAAACCACACCAGAGCACCCACCAACCACCAACCGATGAACTATTAACCGACAGCCGGAGCATCGCCACAGCTAAGGCTACTGAGACAGGCCTTCGGATTATGATGATGATGATGATGAAGGGTGAGGAAAGAAAAAGCAGCAGTTCCCTGTTGCAGTTCAGGTACAGTATGAGCATGATATTGATGAATCAACCCATTTACAATTCTACTATGCATAAGAATAGGTTAATGTGTACAGTACCACGATGACAGGAATTTTGCGTCCTGCTCTTGTGCAACGGGCCCTTTAATACCCCCTCTTTTTACACACACACACACAAACACACACATACACACACACATACACACACATACACATACACACACACACAAACACAAACACTCCCACACAAACATAAACACACATATACACACACGTCCATAGACCCCAGAAGAAAATAAAAAACAAACAACAAAAAGTACGATTTGGAGAGAGGTGTTTGAGAGAGAGAGAGAGAGAGAGAGAGAGAGAGAGAGAGAGAGAGAGAGAGAGAGGGAGAGAGAGAAAGAGAGAGAGAGAGAGAGACAGAGAGAGAGAGACAGAGAGAGAGAGGTGGGGTGGGAGGGGGTTCCTTTAGTACAATTTAAGAGATTAACGGTGCTCACAACTACATGATTACTATTAAGGTCATGAGTGCGCGAAATACAAGTTGATTGCATTCACAACACTTCACAGCCCGTCTTGGTTTTGGTCAATGATCAGATAAAATGGTTTGAAAATTCCCAGCAAAATTTCAGTATTCCAATAAAATGATTTAATTTTCGTAAAAATAACAGTATTTGCATCTTTGTGTAAAGGTTAGTGGCTGTACGTTATGCAATAAAGAATTAGGTTGAGAAAGTGGTTTTTAAGTCGCTACCTTAAAGTTTCGAAGTTGTATCTGGCATTTTTGGCCGTTGTGAGTTGCTAAGACCATGAAGTCAGAAACCAAATGTTCTATCTGCTCTACCAAAATCGTAAGATTTTTTGGAGTCCCTATTATGAAATTAAAGAATTCCATTCGAAAAAGCTTGACATGTTGTGAAAATAAAAAGTTGTTACGTCAAATTTATCCATTCTGAGTAAAAGTAAAGTTGTTCCTGCATCCGATCTGGACATTGGGGATTGCCTTGTTAGTGGGACAACTTCCTGGGCCTTCGGCATATTGTGGTAGGGTGGCCAGTTCCTTTCCACGCCGCCTTTACTTCCCCAACTCGAAGTCAGGTACCCATTACTGCTGGGTGGGCAGAGGGGACGAAAAAAATCCGTGTCCGAACCCAGGCTCGAACACGGACTTTCTGCTTCGGAGACGAGCGCACTAACCGCTCCGCCACCGCACCCTCAAATTCTGAGTAATGAGTAGATGTTACTTTGTAATTCTTGGGTAGCGAAGTGTTGCATGCCGTAACTATCATACCTGTGAGGTGTTGACACAGCGCACACCCAAAGTCTCCAGGTGTCTGACAGCATGCACCATGTGTGTCGGGAAGAGGCCGGTGATAGGAATGAACACAAACGCCAGTCGGGGCAGGTTTGTCTCCAAGATGTTATCTACGTACAGGCCTGAGGACACAAACAATCTCTTTCTGAGTGTGGACAGATGGCGATGTTGATTTTACTCTAGTTTTACATGTAGTAAGAGTTTTACGGCACTTGCAACACGATAATGTCATATACATGCCGAAGATTAGCCCATCAAGGAAACAAACATGAAAAGGTTCTGGGGATGAGGATGATAGATGTTTGATAGGAAAGAAGAAGCGTACCACACAAGAGCACCCACCAACCACCCACACGAATTTGGTTCACTGTAAAATGTTTAGTGGTGGAGAAACGTTGGTTTGAGAGGGAGGGGAGAGGAGCCACATTAGAGTAAAATTGTTGCGGCTTTTGGAGTGAAACGTTATATTACTTTTAAACATTTCTTCGATCATATGACTAAAGGCCTCCCC